GATTGTGTGGTTTCTTCTAAAACATGACAGAAAGATCGGACCACTAGAATGTTATAGATAGATAGATAGATAGATAGATAGATAGATAGATAGATAGATAGATAGATAGATAGATAGATAGATAGATAGATAGATAGATAGATATTGGGGAGGGGCCAGCGAGAGATCGAAAGAAAGGCGACAAGCGTATCTAAATTATGGAATGGCAGAAAAATCGAAAGAGAATGGCAGAGAAAAGGGCGAGAATAACAGCTAAATGTTGAAACATTCTACAACTTTAAATCGTGACCCCATAAGATCTTTTTTTTTTGGGGGGGGGTAGGGGTGGGGGAGGAGAGAATATTAAGAAAATGCATACTTCTGTGCTTATTTCACAGTTTTATTTCCTTTTTTCCCCAACTGACATAAGCGACCAAGTTTATGAACCTCTTTATTTGCATTTCTTGCTCTTTTTTATTGGTCTGGCATCTCTTTTCCTTTCAGGCGCGCGCTAATAAAAACGCACGCTCTTCGCCGTTTTAGCCCGTTTACAACCCTGACTCATCCCTATTACTGCACATGCCCCAATCTTTAAATCTTTCATCATGCATGGCTGCATACATCAAACCCAGTAGCCTACATCACCTCACTCCAACAGAAGGGGTCGAGCGAAATAAGAGATAAGTCGATATTAAGGAGAGAAAAAGAAATCAGGATAATAATATTAAACCTTAACTTACAACTGTACCTGTTTAATACCCCCTATAAAATCAATCAAGTGAAAAACCAGCTAGATTCTAGTCATTTACAAACTGCATTTTAAAACAACAAATTAAGTTAAGAGCAATAAATCATGCTTATCGTAAACAAAGTTAGAAATAGGTTAAATCTTAGCAGGATTAATGTGACTTAGCCTATTTTCCATTTAACACCTTTGTCTTTTTTACTCTGTGTATAGGAAAGGATATCGATGCGATTGCAACTATGTACTTTGTGTGTGGCTACATAGCTACAAAAGCAAACTCTCTGTAGGTCGTACTGTCTGTCCATCGTTTCTTTGTCTGCTTCCTGTTTCGCTGTCAGCCTGGTAATATCTCCACTTGTTTGTGAGTCGGTTTGTCTGTCTGTTTAATTAATTCATCAGCAGGGTCGTCAGTCAGTCTTTCTGCTTGTCCACCCGCCCGGTAATACTCGCGTCCATCCTCCTGTCAGCCTGTGTGTCTCTTGGTCCGTCAGTCTGTCTGTACGTCAGCCCGTACATCACTTTCCCTGTCTTCACCGCCCCCCTCCAAACTCCCGCACAAGGAGACACTCGCTGACAGTTCACAGCAGACCCAATCATATTTAGTCATAAGGATGATTGAACTACATTGGCCACTGGTCTCGCAGAAGTCGCTGCTCCTAAGTCAGATAATCTCTTTCAGTCAGTCCTTTTATTCGTACGACTATCCGCCTGTCAACCTGTATGTCTCTTCCTTTGTCTGTCTGTCTGTCTGTCTGTCTGTCTGTCTGTCTGTCTGTCTGTCTGTCTGTCTGTCTGTCTGTCTGTCTGTCTGTCTGTCTTGTA